TCATCCGCTTAAAAATCACCAACGGTGGAAGCTTTTGTACGAAAGTAAAATGTGTTCTCTTATGGCAGTTCACCTTTCTTGTCAACAGTCCTAGTGAGAGGCAGGTCAAACGTGGAAGGTACTTCATCCGTATTTATGATGTCGTCCGGTCCGATGGAATCCTCTGCAATCTTTGTTTGAGTGAATTTGCGGAAGTTTGTAACTTTTTCCTTGTAGTTGGGAGGGAGTTGCTGACAGAGTTGTCCGTGCGCTGATGGCTGGGGCCTTTTTGACACCACGGTGGTCCACCTTTAAAATCTTTCATCTTCATTTTGGCGGCAATCTGCACGGTGGAAACACTGTCTGCTCTCTGTGTTCGCCCGGTCTTCAAGAACATTCTGCGTTCTGAGTCAGTTCTTCACGCTGCCTTCTCCAACATCTCACCATCGATTCATTGATGCCAAGCTTATAAATATATGTGTAAATATCCAGCCATCCATTTTCATCCGCTTATCCGTTACCGGGTCGCCGGGGCAGCAGTTGCCACCCAAATTACACTGCACCGTACCAACCCCCCCGCACCTTCCTGCGGGTGGTGAGTCCACTGGAGGGTACCAACTGCCCTAACCGGGATTCGAACTTGCCCAGGAGGTGAACCCTAGGGTTCCACACCAATGACAGAGACATTGCCTCTGGGCCAAAGCGTGTGTAAATATGTGTAAATATATATATATATATATATATATATATATACATATATATATATATTTACATGTATGTATATATATATATATATATATATATATATATATATATATATATATATATATATATATATATTTACACATATACAGTGGTCTCTGTTGCGGTTCTCCTTTATATATATATATATATATTTACATGTATGTATATATATATATATATATATATATATATATATATATATATATATATATATATATATATATATATATATATATATATATATATATATATATATATATATATATATATATATATATATATATATATATATATATATATATATATATATATATATATATATATATATATATATATATATATATATATATATATATATATATATATATATATATATATATATATATATATATATATATATATATATATATATATATATATATATATATATATATATATATATATATATATATATATATATATATATATATATATATATATATATATATATATATATATATATATATATATATATATATATATATATATATATATATATATATATATATATATATATATATATATATATATATATATATATATATATATATATATATATATATATATATATATATATATATATATATATATATATATATATATATATATATATATATATATATATATATATATATATATATATATATATATATATATATATATATATATATATATATATATATATATATATATATATATATATATATATATATATATATATATATATATATATATATATATATATATATATATATATATATATATATATATATATATATATATATATATATATATATATATATATATATATATATATATATATATATATATATATATATATATATATATATATATATATATATATATATATATATATATATATATATATATATATATATATATATATATATATATATATATATATATATATATATATATATATATATATATATATATATATATATATATATATATATATATATATATATATATATATATATATATATATATATATATATATATATATATATATATATATATATATATATATATATATATATATATATATATATATATATATATATATATATATATATATATATATATATATATATATATATATATATATATATATATATATATATATATATATATATATATATATATATATATATATATATATATATATATATATATATATATATATATATATATATATATATATATATATATATATATATATATATATATATATATATATATATATATATATATATATATATATATATATATATATATATATATATATATATATATATATATATATATATATATATATATATATATATATATATATATATATATATAGCATAGTACCGAAGAACACTGAGAGCGTATGAAAACATTCGTTGAAGAGACAACAACAAACCTGACTTTTTATCGAAATGACAACATGGCAGCGAATTGTAACAGTACAGCTGGGCGTTATCGCGATATTGTAGTATATATCGATACATATTTCTAAACGCAACATAGCAGGGGGACAATATCGGCATTAACTTGTGTAACATTTGTGTAACACTGTAAAACGAGTCTGCAAAAATGGGGCGTTCGAGAAAACAAATTTGAGAATGTAAAGATTAACATTTTAAAAAAATGCATAAGATTTTTTCAAAATCTGACCAAAAACCACATGTTTAATTAGGATTTTTCTGATTAATACCAAAAATAAAAAAAACTCAAAATGCTCTAATTTTGATAAGAAACTTCCAAATAAGATAACATTTTGAAAGACATCGGTACATGCGTGGATGAAAGCTTGTGTCTCAAACCACCTTCTTTACATAACCTTTCATCCACCTATAATGTCGTCCTGAGTTCTCTCCCCCAAAAAATTCAACCCCCTCCCTGAAAATTAGACCACGGTTCAAAGTAACACGCAGCCAAAGGTGTCGCGCAGGTGAAACCATTAGTCCATAGCTATGGTAAAAAAAAAAATCTGAAAAACATTCTTTGAATTGTCTCTCATTGCATTCTTCCTAAAGTAAGTCTTGGTTATTTTTGGTTAAATGGTTTTTGGAGGTTTTAGCATAAACTTGTAAACTTGCATTTCGGAGGCATTTCTGGGACTTTTTATTTATTGTTTTTGCTTTTTTTTTTTTGTGATAGTACAACATTGTCTTGCTTATTTTGTTGATATTTTGACATATTCAGATATGATGGTTTTTGGAGGTTTTAGCATAAACTTGTAAACTTGCATTTCGGAGGCATTTCTGGGACTTTTTATTTTTTTTGCATTTTTTTTTTTGGGGGGATAGTACGACATTGTCTTGCTTATTTTGTTGATATTTTGACATATTCAGATATGATGGTTTTTGGAGGTTTTAGCACAAATTATTCACTTGGTAGCATAACTTTGGGGTGTAAACTTGCATTTCGGAGGCATTTCTGGGACTTTTTATTTTTTTTGCATTTTTTTTTGGGGATAGTACGACACTGTCTTGCTTATTTTGTTGATATTTTGACATATTCAGATATGATGGCAGCATGTTTTGGGGCATAAACTTGCATTTTGAGGAATTACTGGGACTACTTTTTTTTGCGATAGTAAGACTATAGCCTTTTGTTGATAGTGTGACATGTTCAGATATGTTTATATGATTATGTTTATCGGATATTTGGCATGAATTTTTTGCATTTTGACTTGGACTTAACTAGGGAATTGAGGGAAAAGACTTACTTGTTACTTACAAAACAATGACTTGCTATTACCTCTGCTTCATTTAATGAGAAAACAATCAGGATGGACACAGATGTGTGCAGAACTACAGAAGTTTTATTAGACATGCTACAGAGGAAATGCAGTATACACAAGAGGATGAGGGGGAAAATCAAAATCACTTTGCACTTCTCCTTGTTAGAAAAGTATTCATCTTTAATTTGTACCTCATCAAGTACACCAAATGATATTTTGACCTGTATAAAAATCTGACAGAGAAAAAAAACAAAAAACACACAAAACTGTTTTCTATGAGCTAAGTCTAAAGATGTTTGTATTGTTAAAAAATAAGTGGGAGTAATCTGTTTTTTCAAATGCTTTATTTATTTTTTTTTTAGGAACACTAAAGGCACAGAAACTTTGGTCCAACCAAGTAGCCCTCAAGTAAACTGTCACATGACAAAAATCACAGTGGACTAGACTTCTACCTGCTGCCACAGCATGCAACAACGTTCGTATGGGAGATCCAAGGTCACAACACGCGCAGACAACTGTGACCCAGGTATGACATGAGAACTCGGAACACGAGTCCTGTATACCTCTGATAGTGGTAACTACAACAGGGGTAATTTTTTTTATATGGTAAACAGATAAAATGTATCTTTGTAAATCAATTAAGAGTTTAAAATGAATTGTGGGACCTAGGAGATGTGGAGGCAGGGAGGCAGTTCAGAAGGGGAACCAAAAGAGACCAATATTCAGTACAGTAGGTTTTGGGTTGATATCTTTAATGACCTATAGCATTTCGTGGGTATGTCACCATTCATTTATTTAAAAAAAAAAAAAATTGTTCCATAATTTCAACCTACGGTGTTAAAACTCTGTACGGAGGGGACGGAAACATCATTGCATGGGCTGTATGCTGATGACGGCTTTCTTTTACGTTCTCTAAACATTTGTTGTGCTACATTTGCTATGCCCTTCATTATGGCTCCCAAGTGTAAATTAAACTTTTTTAATTTATGCCCCAGATTCTGATGACACCACTGTATTAGCGTAGGTGAGTGACAGAGAGTGACATAAGTACTTATGCACAGTATGCGAGTTACAAACTCTGGCAAACGTCAAGTTACGTCACATTGTAGAATTTGGATGCAAATCGAGGGTTCTGCAACACATACCTTCTTGTATTAATAACTAATTTAAATTTAGTTTATATTCATTTAAATTATCATGATCACCTTCTACCCCCGTCCAAAAATAACACCAATAGACCAACTGGTTCAACTTTTGATCATCATAACATAAGAGGTATACAGTACCAACCTATAATGTGGGTCTGGTATATAATAAAAAAAAAAGCTTTATTTTGATACCAAGTGTATTTCATGATGATTCCACTTCTGCAATTTTTTTGCACAAATCGGCAACTTCTCACCCAAAGCGGAGAAGCAATAAAGTATTTTTCCAAACATCAGCTATCACTGAATTAACACTTCACTGCTCCTTGTTATTTATCAACTACAAAAAAAAAGCTGTTTTTGTAGTTTCATTTTTAGAATGAAACTACTCTACTGTTGTGATCAGACCAAAAACAGAAAGAATCTACTGGGCTTCATATGCTTTAAAAAAAAAAAAGACTGGGGTTTTCCCAAATAGCTTCTAAATAACAGTTGCATTGAAACTGAGTCATCTTAAAACTAAATGTAGCTGTGTAGATGGCGCATTAAACCACTATGAGGGTTGGGAGGGGGGGTTTCAGGGAAGCTCTCAGTCTTACACTTTAAAACCCCATGGCATTTGAATTTCAAGTAAATCTGCCGGTAAAGCCATTATAAAATGCCTGTAAAAAGTCCTATCTGGAAATGATTCTGCAGAGCATGAGAAAATAAGAATGTGTTATAAAATATAATAACAGTGTCTGCATGATGACGGTGGACAATGCATTGAGAAATCAGTGTCAACGTGCCTTGTTAAGCATAGCTGGGATGTTGTGTCAGACGACCACGTGGGTAAACTATTCATTACATCAGGTAAGGCACAAAAGTCCTGGGTGTTTCTAAGTAAATTTAAAAAAAAAAAAAAAAATCAAGATCTGACTAACATCAAAGGTACTGTACAATCTATAATGTCACTATACCAACATAAAAATAGAGGTACACCAAGAAGACACTGGGAGAGCCTAGCTTTTACATGCGAGACCTTTCTCTAAATTTGACAGTTCTTAGTTGTTTTTCTTTTTTTTAAAGTTAAAGGAATGTTTGTCATTTAAATAATGGTCAGACACAAATTTGCATCTAATTGATGTAAAGGTTGGTGCCATCTCTTCGAACGTAGGTGATTTACCATTATAAAGCTAGCTCATGTGGTGGCAAACCGTTCTACCAATAGTCACCACTGCTGGCACCCTTTAGACATCCAAGAAGAAAACTGACAGACAGTTCTACATTTTTAATTTAAAGGCAGTCAAATCACCACCATTTGATAAAGTTGACCCTAAAAAGACATGTAAAACATATTTCACGGACAAAAAAAAACTGGTCCACCACTGTTCTCCAAGTCCAAGGGGTCATTTCGACCACACCGGCTGAGCGTGAGCATGTTTTAGCTTAAGCTTCTATCAGTTGTTTTTAAAAAAATACAGACGATTGGATGACACTTGTATTGGTACTTTCAAAGCTGTAGATTTTTTGGGGGTGGTATCACATGACTGCTCTAAACTATAACTGATCCCGGTGATCGAAAATAGTGAATGTCACCACTACGCAGTTTGTTGTGCGTTACTGTAGTCGCAAAGTCACTTGCATTGGTAGGCATTGAAAAAAAAAACGACCACCAAGTTACCAAACATTTCAAAGCTACACATGTACTACTTGGCCGAGACTTACAAGGCCAGACCAAAACAGCCATGTTCCATTGGATCACAATGTTTTTAGGTCAGGAATCCATGGTCTTTTGAGAAGATAAATGAAGAATGTGGCAGCAGACCCTCTCATGCATCTCTGCAGTGTAGAGAAATCAACACAAAGAAAAAGATAATACCCAGTCTAATCAAGGCTTAACCTATTTTTTTTTTTCTTTTTATGTCTTAAAAAAGTTTCAGTGTCTATCAAGGAATGAAAGTGTCAACACGAGCCCAACAAAAGAACTGATAGACTTAATGTGGTCCCCCCAGTGTCCGGACACAGTGAAAGTTTGCCGAATTGATGAAGGAATTCCTCAAATGGTGGACTTTGAGAATGACACCCTCAGATGCTGGTTCCCTCCCATATTGTAGTTGTGAAGGTCGATCAAGGCCTGGGTGGCCTCTTCCACTGTCGACATCTGGATCAAAGCCATTTTGCGATCCCTGGGAAACATGAGGACACTGGGTGATTAAAGCTGGAAACCGACAACATTACAAGACTTCAAAGTGTAAACAGTTCAAACATAAAATAAAATAAAAATACATTTAAATCATGCCATCTGCTTTACAGATATCAGGTTTTAGTTAAACACAAGTGTAACAAGCATATATTGGTATAACGTTCTCCAACCCTAACCGTTCCACGTGCTTAAGACCTGTGGCCGTACCACGTAACCATGGAAACAGCTGCGCGGTGGGAAAGAAATTGTGTTTTCAAATGTTTTTTCATTGGTTCACACGTGCAGTAAGATGGTGAAATGGATTCTCATCAATTCTCATTTGGTTAAGGACATTGATGATAAAGATGGGTGTACCAAAAACTCTGAAAAAGGCAAATATGCATGGCATGTCTCCTCAAATAAAACTGCAATACACTACATTATTTTCAAAATTTATATCCAGAAAGCCATGGTCTTAATAGAAACACATTGGTAGGCAACACTAAAAAAAAAAAAAAAAAACTTGCCTCATACTAAATATAAATCACATTTCATTGAATAAACTTTATTCCAAAAAAAAAATAAACTTTATTAATAGCCAATTAACTATTTTTGGTACTATATGTTTTAAGAGTGAATTGATTGAAAATCCACTAAGAGCATGACTTGAATGTCAAAGCCCAGTTTTGATTAGTACTACTTACTGGAAAAACTTGAACGCTTTCACGCTGCCTCCAGTGTTGGAAAAGAGCAGTCTCAAGTCATCTTCTGTCACATCTTGTCTGAAAAGGGTGGAGAGAAGAGAGGTCAAATATTGTTTTTTTTTTTGTCTCTTTCATTTTCCTTTTCAAAACCAAAAGCCAAAGATTCTTACGGGATGTTAGACAAGTGAAGGGTTGACGATGGCGGGAAGATATTTTGAAAATTTTTAGAACCCGGTTTCTTAAACCGATGCAATGGTGAATTGGCATAATCCTTGGTTAGTCCCTGGTCGTCTAATCCATCACGGGGCAGAGCCACTGACTGGTGTTTAGACAGTGTCACTCGGATGATCTTCCCGTACATCTTTTGGCCGTTAAGATGACTCATCGCTTTAGTCCAAAGAGAGAGAGAGAGAAAAAAAAATGCTTTAAAGATTCATGATGTCAGTCCATTGTTACCCATGGGTTTTAATTTGTACTTGTCATTCTTTGTGTCAGGTGAACTGTTGTTTTGCAATTTCTGCCAATAATCTAGCTGACTGGAAACGTAAAAATATAGGCGATGACCCAATATTTCAATGGTGATGTCTCTGATAACTGGCAACTAAATCAAACTAATCATTCAGCTAAAATAACTCGAAGTTTAAAATGTTTGGTTGTTGTTTTTTGACCTGTCAACTAAAGTTACATTTTTTTGCTGCTTGTTTTTGGTGCACTTTAGTGTAGTGCATAATACAGTATTGAGGAAATGTGTTGTATTGTCAGAAAAGTAATTCATTTAATTTGAATCTAATTTGTATACGTTTTTAAAAAAATCACACACAAAAAAAAAAATAAAAAAATAAAAAAAAATAACAAACAATGGAATTTCAGAAAATAAAATAATTGCTACTGACGTCTCCTCAACACAAACGTTATCATGGCAAAGAACCAAATCCTGAACAAGAGAAATGGCGGGCATGCAACACTGGCTTACCGAGCTGGGCCTGATTTGCGTCTGACATTTGGATGAGAGCGCTGTCCTTCTTATTGTAAAGAATTTTCACCCTCTGGACATCGCCGTACACCCCTGAATTAAAGTTGCAGGAGGAAAAAAGGTGAGGTGGAGAGAAAAAAAAAAAAAAAACAGACAATGAAAAAGTTAGCATCACAGAGAAAGAGGGAAGGCTGTTTTAAGATAAGAAGCAAAAGAAGAAAGTAGAGTACA